AACTATGAGCTCTACTCCGAACCTTTTTTGGTATCGTCAATATGGAAACCAAAGACCAGAGAAAATTCTGACTGCTTACAGATACGGGAATAACCACTTCCAGGAGGGAAAGTTTTCCACCACATTAGTTTTAGGAAGTCAGAAGTCAGTTCCTCTAAACATCAGAAGTGTCTCTCTACTAGATGGAGCTGTTTATTTCTGTGCTCTGAACCCCACAGTGAATCATCTCTGTATACAGGCTCACACAAAAGTCAATGATGCGATACCAAACTCAACTCTGTACAGAGAGTTCTGTCCCACTAACCTCTCATTCATCCAATGATTTTTTTTCAGCCATTCCCATCACCTTTAAAAAGCAGTGGAGAATGAAAGGATGATGATGATCCTACTGGTTTTTCTAAAAGAAACATATTTATTTTTCAGCTGGATTAAGCCAAGATGAATATAGTTCCAAAGGAACAATTTATGGAGAATTGACATTGAAGTATCTAGAGACAGAAGGGATAGTGAGAAAGAAGAAAGAAACCAAATATAAAGACCGTACAGTAGAGACCAAGTGAATGTTGGAAAGGAAAGCAGTGTCAGGGTTCCGATGGATGCCCTAATTACAACATGAGCATCGAGCCAAGCTTCAAAAGAAATCCAGTTATTTATTAGGAGCTTCATGTCGGCACGTTCTTAAGTAAAGCCAATTCTGACCCCACATAATTTACGCCCCAATCATAACTCTGTTTCCCCCCTCCCCTCAGGGTGTGTCATCAATCACATTTGCCAACGGAGCAATTTTGCAGGTTGTACAGATCACTCCCCTCTGGCAGCTGTGGGTAACTCTGGGAGACAGCCTTGAGAGAGACAAGTCTGGAATGTGCATCTGTCTTTGGCTGCCATGCTGTTTCATCAGTTTCTCATCCCCCTTGCCTATGGCAACTCGAGAGCAGGCCAGGGATGCTTTGTGAGTGGACAAGCAGTAGAGACACCGCTAGTGATATATTACACTTGAGGCAAAAGAAGTAAAAGAGCACTTGGTCACAATAAGAATGGGTGGATCTCAATTCACCGATTACAAAAGTCCATTATCTGGAGCAGCACCAATAATCTTAATTTTAATCAGAATGGAGATGGAAGGGACCTTGGAGTCCAACCCCCTGCTCAAGCAGGAGAGCCTATACCATTTCAGACAAATGACTGTCCAGTCTCTTCTTTAAAAGCTCCAGTGATGGAGCATCAACCAACATCTGAAGGCAAGCTGTTCCACTGGTTAATTGTTCTCACTGTTAGGAAGTTTCATCTTAATTCCAGGTTGCTTCTTTCCTTGATTACTTTCCATTCATTGTTTCTTGTCTTGCTTTCCGATGCTTTGGAAAATAAGTTGACCCCCTCCTCTTTGTGGCAGCCCCTCAAATACTGGAATACTGCTATCGTGTGTCCCCCACACAGTCTTTCTTTTCTCTAAATAAATAAAATAAATAAATAACTTTATTGTCATTGTACGCGTATACACTGTATACCCATACAACGAAATTCACTTAACACCCCAAGTCTAGTTCACTAGCCATATCTAAATCCTTCAACCGTTCTTCATATGTTTTACTCTCCAGGCCTTTAATCATCTTAGTTGCTCTTCTCTGTACTTTTTCCAAATTATACTATTTTGATCTTTCCTAAATATGGTAGTTAAAAGTATACAAAATTCATTCATATGAGTTTGTGTAAATAATAATAATAATAAATAACTGCTATTACCACTAATTCAAATCCAATGTCTTGTTTTTTTTTAAAAAATGTGATTCTTCTCAAGATAAGATAATTGTTGAGAAGTAGTGATGGTAATATAATCTCTGTGCAGTGGTGGGTTGCTACCAGTTCACCCAGGTTCGGGCGAACTGGTAGCGATGACGGCAGGAGGCTCCGCTCACCTGCCCGGACATCATCAAATACAATCTGTGCATGCAAGTGAATGAACCGGTAGCAAAGGTAAGTGAAACCCACCACTGTATCTGTGCCATTCAATCTATGAAAAGAAATCAGAATAGAGCTAGAAGGGACTTTGGAGGTCTTCTAGTCCAGCCACCAGCAGGAGGCCCTGTACCGGGGTGAAATGCTCACGGTTCGGACCGGATCACTCAATCTGGTAGCGATGGTGGTGGGTGGTTCAGAGAACCGGTAGCAAAAATCCCTGCCACCCCCCCACATGCCCATCTGAGCCACATGATCATCAGAGGCTTTTTTTTTTTTTTACTTTTAAAAGCATTTTTTCTACAACCTCTTCGGCTGAAAAAAATGCTTTTAAAAGTAAAAAAAAAAAGCCTCTGATGATCGCGCGGCTCAGCTGGGATCGTCAGAGGCTTCTAAAAGTATTTTTTTTCTGCAACCTCTTCGGCCGAAGAGGTTATAGGGAAAAAATGCCTTTAAAAGCCTCTGGCAATCCCAGCTGAGTTGCCTGATCGTCAGAAGCTTCTAAAAGCATTTTTTTCTGCAACCTCTTAAGGTTGTAGAAAAAAATGCTTTTAAAAGTAAAAAAAAAAAATGTTGGCCACGTCCACCCAGTCACATTACCCCCCACACCAAGCCACGCCCACAGAACCGGTAGTAACAAATTTTACATTTCACCACTGCCCTATACCATTTTAGACAAATAACTGTCCAGTCTCCCCTTAAAAATCTCCAGTGATGAAGCACCTACAATGTCTGAAGACAAGCTGTTCCACTGGTTAATTGTCCTCACTGTTAGGAAGTTTCTCCTTAATTCCAGGTTGCTCCTCTCCTTGATTAGTTTCCATCCATTGTTTCTTGTCCTGCCAATTGTATATCACTGGCTAGAATTCCAAGCATTGGAATCCTGACAAACCTAGAGAATACATGGATGTGTTCACTGTTCAACAGTTTTTGTTACAATTAATGGTTCTCTCCCACCTTTTTCTTGAGCAGTTCATTCTAGCTTCTGGGAAATTTTTCTTTGGTTTCCCTTCAGAGCAACTATCCCGTTGAATCACCAATCCAAAGTATGGTTCCTATAAGGTTGTTCAAAAAATATCCACCTTGTGTTCCTTTGACACCCCTGTGGGCACCACTGTTAACCAATGAAGTTCCATTGCTGAGAGAAGACTGGCAGAGAAACTGTGGTTGTCCGTCTTCCAAGCTGTGAGGACACCTGCCATCTTTCACGATAGGCTGGTTTTTGTGTTCTATCGTAATTTCCTTCTCAATTTCAACTCTCCTACCAGTGTGGGGAGCTGGATTCATATAACTGACAGCCAATGAAACAGTCACGGGACTCTCTGCTGAAGCACACAGAAAACCACAACAGAGAGAATCAGAAGACGACAAGAGATTTTCTCGCAAGGGATCATTGTTTAGGCAAGATTCCACCTGCTTTCTCTAAACTGAGATGTTTCCGTTCCTCACCATGAATTTGGCATCCTTTTCATTATTGGTTCTCATGTCAAGTAAGTAATATTTAGAATATCACTTTCTACTGTTTTGGGCATCTACCCTGTTTTCCCGAAAATAAGATCCAACTGGAAAATAAGCCCTAGCATGATTTTTCAGGATGCTCGTACTATAAGCCCTACCCCCCAAAATAAGCCCCGGTTAAGATTATGAACCACATGGGTGCATTTAGTATCGCATTTCCCTCCAAAAATAAGACCTAACCAGAAAATAAGCCCTAATGTATCTTTTGGAGCAAAAATTAGTTTAAGACCCGGTCTTATTTTTGGGGAAACTCGGTATGTCTACTTTCATTTCTAGGTCTGGTCTTTTCTTGTAGCTCCAAGACTTTCCTCCTTTTTTTTTTTCCTTTAATTTATATGCCTCCCTACTCTGGAGACTCAGGGCGGCTTACAATGCGTTAAGCAATAGCCTTCATACTTTTGTATATTTATACAAAGTCAGCTTATTGCCCCCACAATCTGGGTCCTCAATTTACCTACCTTAGAAAGGATGGAAGGCTGAGTCAACCTTGAGCCTGGTGGGATTTGAACTTGCAGTAATTGCAAGCAGCAGATGTTAATAACAGTGCATTAGTCCACTGTACTACAAACGCTCTGCTCAGGTTTTACATTTCATATTCATCTTTGTTCCTTGTACTTTGCCTTCCTTTCAAGTATTGCCTTACCTAGGACCTTTCTTCATTTTGTACTCCCCAAAACAATATTGTCTGAGAAAGAAAGACTAACCCATGATCCCCCAGGGGTTCCCAAAACTGCAGTGAGGACTTCAGCATGAGCTTTTCCATCCTTAGTCCAAGAACTTAAACAACAAACAACATTGACTTTTACAATTGTCTTCCTGGCGTAAGATGAAATGGATGCCCAGAATATTCCATTGCAATCAACTTCCCCCTAGCTATGTAATGATCAACAATTTCAATTGAACGATGGAATTTCAGTAGAAGGGCTAGAAAAAGTGGACCATTTATAAAACTCAGTTTCTACTTATTAGATGATATTTCTTCTTAAATGCTTCCAGGAGAGAGATAAGGTAGTGATATTTTTAGGGCAGGAGACCTTAATTTTTTTTAAAAAAAATCTGAAATCATCAAAAAGATGGATTAGAAAGTCAGTTTGGAGGTCCTGCAGCGCAGGGTTTCCCAACCCCTGGTCCGTGAATTAGCACCAGTCCGTGGCATGTCAGAAACTGGGTCACACAAACAAGTGAAGCCCCATCCATGTGAAACCATGCTCCCTCCAGTCTGCAGTAAATCCTCTTTCCATGGAATTGGTCCCTGCTGCCCAAAAGGTTGGGGTGGGGGGTTTCAATCCTCTAGCCCTTGCTCAGCACAGGAATTAACTAAACTACCCTGTTTCCCTGAAAATAAGACCCAACCGGAAAATAATCCCTAGCATGATTTTTCAGCATGCTCGTAATATAAGACCTACCCCCAAAACAAGCCCTAGTTAAGATCGTCTGCAGATGGAGGCATTTAGTACTGTATTTTCCCCTCCAAAAAATAAGACCTAACCAGAAAATAAGCCATAATGCATTTTTTGGAGCAAAAATTAATATAAGACCCGGTTTTATTTTGGGGAAAACATGGTATTTCTACCAAAAGCCCATTTGGTTCCCAGTTGATTTCTCCACTTAGGTAGGACACATCAATCCTTCAGGTGGTTCTTCTGGTCAGCACTTTTTATATAACAATTACTATGTTGTATGTTTGATCCATGAACTTCCAACACTTTCATCCGGGGCCACAGATGTTGACTTCCTGTTGTTTGCCTGTGTTTGACTTTAACAGGAACTCTTTTCTGCCAAGCTGCAAATCCTGTCCAGGAACCCCTGCTAGAAGCATCCAATGGAAGAGAAGTAGAGCTTAATTGCTCCCATCCCAACATCCAAATAAATGAAAACATCTATTGGTATCAACAGTTCCCTAGCCAGCCTCCCCATCACATTGTAGACGGATACAAGGGAATGGTGAAGAGCAACCAAGGGGAGAGAATTTCCTTGATGATTCCTGATGAACGAAAAAATAGCATCCTCTCCTTCACCAAAGTCACCTTTGAGGACCAGGGATTGTACCTCTGTGCTCTGTTAGACACTGTGTCACATCCTTGTGCCTCCCTTTGGCAAGAACCCTTTCTTGCAATGCAGCTGCCACCAGAGAGAGGGAAAAAAAAGATAATTACAATCTGAATGTGCCCAGAAGCATTTTTGCTATGATGATTGATGATTGAAAGGATGAGAGTTGAATTTGTTTCCTTAGCAGTTAATTACAACTCCAGATTGTGGCATTTTTGGTAATCCCCTAATTAAACATACCAAAAATAAGGGAAAGGAGGAAGGGAGGAAGGGAGGAAGGAAGGAAGGAAGGAAGGAAGGAAGGAAGGAAGGAAGGAAGGAAGGAAGGAAGGAAGGTGTCAGCGTTCCAGAAAAAAACCCAACTCCAAGTAAAGACTTTGAAGCCAGCATTTTTCAAAGTTCTATTTACTAGAAAAAGTAAACTAGCACATCTGGGAAAACCCGAATCTGAGAGGTCCGGGTTTTCCCTCAGTAAATCAAAACCCCCAAAACCATCCCCTCACTCCTCATTCTATCACATGCTCCAATCAACAGCCGTCCCATCTCGAGACATCACTCCAACCACTCCTTCTCCAGATGCAGGATCGCCCTGACTTTGACCGACAGGAAGAATGCTATTATGTCTACAGACAACCCCTCTACTAAATCCCTCCTCCTACTTTCCCACACTTGAGAAGGTGGCAGCATGGAAGCTTCCGGCCTAATATGGCTTCCAAAGCTGACAGAAGGAAGGAGAGAAGGGAAGGAGGGAGGGAGGGAGGGGTGGGAGGGAAGGAGGGAGGGGGAGAAGGAAGGAAGGAAGGAAGGAAGGAAGGAAGGGAAAGAGAGAAGGGAAGGAAGGAGGGAGGGAGGGAGGGAGGGAAAACAAAGGATTCAAGGTAGAATAAAACAATTTACCTGTTGGTAGATTTGTATCCTCCAGGGGGCAGTCTAGACCTTCATACTTACTCCATCCTTCCTCAAACCTCCTGCTTGACTTAAAAGCCACAAGTGAGGCCACCTGTGATGAATGCAACTGCTTGTCAGAAAAGGAAACCACCTCCCCGTTGTAGCTTTTTTTCTAAATGTAAGAAGCAAAGGAGAATGTTGGTTTTCTTCAGAGATCCAAGGATGTCTTTTCCTTCTCAACCAAATCGTTATTTGATATTTCTGGGAATTTTCTTACTGCTCTCAAAATCAGGTATTGTTTCTGCTGGAAAACTCTTCTTCCCTTCTCTTTCTCCTTATCTTCCACACTTCCCTTCCCCTTTCCCTTTCCCTTTTCCTTCTCCTTCCCCTTCTCCTTCTTCTCCCTCTCCCTCTCCCTCTCCCTCTCCCTCTCCCTCTCCCTCTCCCTCTCCTTCTCCTCCTCGTCCTCCTCTGTTGAATTTATTACCAGAAATACAGACTTCTCCTTCTCCTTCTCCCTCTCCCTCTCCCTCTCCTTCTCCTTCTCCCTCTCCTTCTCCTTCTCCTTTCCTTCTACTTCTCCCTCTCCCTCTCCCTCTCCCTCTCCTCCTTCTCCTTCTCCTTCTCCCTCTCCCTCTCCTTCTCCTCCTTCTCCTCCTTTTCTTCTCCTTCTCCTTCTCCTTCTCCTCCTTCTCCTTTTCCTTCTCCTTCTCCTTCTCCTCCTCCTCTATCAAAATTTGGATAAATGTCTGCAGAGATTCTCAGTCATCCAGGTCATGACTGTCCCAAACGTGCTTTTCCAAGAGGCAACTGGACTTTTCTTTGAAGATGGTTCTCCTTCTCCTTCTCCCTCTCCCTCTCCCTCTCCTCGTCCTCCTCTGTTGAATTTATTACCAGAAATACAGACTCACTAAATAAAGAAGTCCGAGACTTTCAAAATAAAACATTGGTTAAATGAAAAAATCGATCTAATGACCGATAATTTTAATGTCATAACTTCCTGAAAATGTAAAGCAAGTCTATGGAATACTGACTTTAGCTGTGATACATGTCCACAGGTCTGTGTTCTGGGTTCACAAAGGAATGAGGTTGAAAACTGTTGGTAGTCTGTTTTTCCCCACATCTTGTACTTTTGGAAGTTCTTTAAGGCAGCAGTCACCAATCGGTGGTCCACTAGAAAATGTTGGTCGTCCACAGAAAAATTATTTGCATTTTTATATAGCACTAAATACTATTTATCTTTTTTTAAAAAATTCATATTAGTGGTCCACGGGATTTAAAATTATGAATTTAGTGGTCTCTTGAGATCCGAAAGGTTGGTGACTCCTGCTTTAAGGGATGTAAGGGATCTAAGAGCTGAGGTAGCGCAGTGGTTAGAGTGCAGAACTGCAGGCTACTTCAGCTGACTGCTAGCTGCAGTTCAGCAGATCGAATCCCACCAGGCTCAAGGTTGACTCAGCCTTTCATCCTTCCGAGGTGGGTAAAATGAGGACCCAGATTGTTGGGGGCAATATGCTGACTCTGTAAATCGCTTAGAGAGGGCTGTAAAAGCACTATGAAGCGGTATATTAAGTCTAAGTCCTATTGCTACTGCTATTTGTTTTTAAATTAGATCCTGAAATCCTATTTTAAATTGGGAAATAAAATATGTGACAGATAACTAAATGACTTTGGTCAGTGTCCACAAACCAGCCCTGTACTGAATCTGTTCCTATGATACGCCTGGAAGATGCATAGGCCAAGATACACATTTCAAACTCCTAATCAATTTTGGGGATTATTCTGAGGTACTGATTTTGTTTTTTCTTCTCTTAAGGGAATTCTCAAAGCGATTCAGTATCCCAAAAACAAAACCACATGGAAATACTAGAAGGAGAAGATGCCACTTTGCCCTGTGACTTCACAACTACCAGCTACACTCCAAATCTTTATTGGTATCGTCAGTATGGAAACCAAAGACCTGAGCGGATCCTGACTGTTTACAAATTTGGGAATAATCACTTCCAGGAGGGGAAGTTTTCCACCATGTTGGTTTTAGAAAGTCAGAAGTCAGTTCCTCTGAACATCAGTAGTGTCTCTCTACTGGATGGAGCTGTTTATTTCTGTGCTCTGAACCCCACAGTGAATCATTTCTGTATACAGACTCACACAAAAGTCAACGAAATGAAACCAACCTCAACTCAGTACAGAGAATTCTGTCTCAAACTTCTCATCCATCCAAGAAATTCGTCACCATCGCCTTTAAAAAGTTATAGAGTTGTGATGGCAAACCTATGGCATGCGTGCCACAGGTGGCACATGTAGCCATATCGGTGGGCACGCGAGCTCAGCTCTGGCACACGCCTTCTGGGCCCACCAGAAGTAGGGAAACAGCCTACTTTCCTGCCTCAGGTTGACCTCGGGGTGGGGGGGGGAGGCACATTTTTCTCTCTCTCCCCACCCCCCTGGAGGCCCTATGGAGGCTGAAAATGGCCCATTTTCCAACTTCCAGTGGGACCGGAAGTTTTTTGCTGTCCCCAGCCTCCAGAGCCTTTCTAGGAGCCTGGGGAGGGTGAAAACAGCCTTCCCTACACCTCCCGGAGGTCCTCCTGAGGCCAAAAATGGCCTATTTGGCAAGTTCTGCTCCCTCTGGGAGTGGGGGGTAGAGAAGGCAGTTTTCACCCTCCCCAGACTCCTAGAAAGGCTCTGGAGGCTGGGGACAGCAAAAAATTGGCCTACCGTGCCATCACGTGCCAGAAGCAGAGGGAGCAGGGTGGTTGCGTGTGCATGCACGGGGACAGGCACATAGAATTATGGGTGTGGGCATGCACCCACCCCCCCATTCCCGGCACACGATGGCAAAAAGGTTAGCCATCACTGTCATAAAGAATGAAAGGATTACAATCCTGTTGAACTTTCTAAAACAAATATATTTATTTTTCATCTGGAAGAAAGCCAGAATGATTACAGTTCCAAGGAAACAATAATGGATAGTTGACACTGAAATATCTCGAGGCAGAAGGGGGAATGAGGGAAAAAAAAAAAGCAGGAAACCGAATAAGGAAATATAAAGACCGTAAATTAGGGACCAAGTGAAAGGAAAACAGTAGCAATAGTAATAACATTTAGACTTATATAGAGCTTTACATGAGCCTTTGCAGGAAGCAATTTGTTCATTCTGGTTGGTTCAAACTCTGAGAAGCTCAGTTTGACTTTGTGCTCCATTTGGCCTTGCAAAACTAATTGGCAATTAGGTCTCTGGCAGCGTTTCAAGGGAGATAAAGGTGGGTGCTTATCAGCATTACCTTGAAAGACTGTGGCAGACTTCTGTCGGACTCTTCACAGAATGTTTGTGAATTGTTACGGGCTGTGAATGACCATAATTCACAGTCGTTTAAAGAAAAGAGGGGCTTTTGGGAGTAAGAGTGCGATTTAAGCTTTCTCAGGGAGCCTAGATCAGAACACACTTCATAATTGACAGCCAATGAAAACATCATGGGTCTTTCTGCTGAAACACACAAACAAAAAAAACCACAACAGAGAGAAGGCAGTAAGAGAAGATTACGGGAGACAAATTGTGGTGGATGTCCTTCTTCCAAGCCATGAGAACATCTGCCATCTTTCCTGATAGGCTGCTTCTTGAATTTAATCATCATAAATCCTTTTGCCTTCTCAATGTAGGCTGTCCTACCAGTATGGGGTGCTGTATTCATGTAATTGACAGTCAATGAAACAATCACGGAATTCTTTTCTGAAACACACACACACAGACATACACACACACAAACCACAACAGAGAGGAGGCAGGCAGAAGGAGTGAAGAGAGAGAGGCCTCGTTGTTTAGAAAGGATACCGGCTGTCTGATTAATTCAGATCAACTGAGATTCTGCAGTCCCTCACCATGAATTTGGCATCCTTCTCGCTAATATTATTGGTTCTCACGTCAAGTAAGTAATATTTAGTAATATTTATCACTTTCTACCCTTCCTGAATGTCCAATTTTCTTTCTAGGTTCTGTCCTTTCCTGTAGTTCCAAGAGTTTCCTCCTTGACTCAGTTTAAAGTTGTTGTTGTTGTTTTTTAATTTGATTTATATGCCGCCCTTCTCCGGAGACTCAGGGCGGCTTACAGTGCGTTAAGCAATAGCCTTCATACTTTTGTATATTTTATACAAAGTCAGTTTATTGCCCCCACAAACTGGGTCCTCAATTTACCTACCTTAGAAAGGATGGAAGGCTGAGTCAACCTTGAGCCTGGCAAGATTCAAACTTACTTTAATTGCAGACAGCTGGTGTTAAATTACAGTGCCTTGTCTGCAGAGCTATCCAGGTTTTATATTTATATTTTGCATAAAGTAAAGGTAAAGGTTCCCCTTGCACATATGTGCTAGTCATCCCCGACTCTAGGGGGCGCTGCTCATCTCCGTTTCAAAGGCGAAGAGCCAGCGCTGTCCGAAGATGTCTCCGTGGTCATGTGGCCAGCATGACTAAATGCCAAAGGCGCACAGAACGCTGTTACCTTCCCACCAAAGGTGGTTCCTATTTTTCTACTTGCATTTTTTTTATGTGCTTTCGAACTGCTAGGTTGGCAGAAGCTGTGACAAGTAATGGGAGCTCACCCCGTTACACGGCACTAGGGATTCGAACCGCTGAACTGCCGACCTTTTGATCGACAAGCTCATCGTCTTAGCCACTGAGCCACCGCGTCCCTGTATTCGCATAGCTCTCTTTTATTCTGCCCTTTTTCCAAGAACTGAGAATGGCTGACATCAAATCTCTCTCCATTTGCAACTCCCCAAAGCAATGTAACTTGAGAAAGAAAGAAAGAATCGCCCATGGCTTTCCAATACTGAGGGAGGAGCTTCCCACCCTTAGCTTAAATAGCCCACCACAATGACTCTCACAAATTCCTTGGAAGATATATTCCTGGTGTTAAAATGCTGCAGGAACCTGTATGGAGAATTCTGCTAATCCTTGGCCCAGAATTTTCCATTGGATTCAATTTCCAATCTTCTTCTTCTTGTGGCCATATCCATCATCTGATGTTGACGATCATGTTGGCGATCCTATTTTTGTCAACAGCCGCACGAAAAGAGTGCGGCTGAGTTTTGTCCAAACCGGTCCCTGAGATTTGGAAGCCATGATGTTCTTTTTCTGTTTGGACCTTGTTTGCTTTCAATCTCTTCCTGGAGGATTAAGTGAAGGATGCTGTGTTTTTCTGGGTATCGCATCACATGTCCGAAGTATTCTAACTTTTGCTTTTTAATTTCCAATATAGCTATGCAATGTTCAACAATTTCAAAGGCCCAGAATTTTCCAAGATAATCAATTTGCAGTATAGCTATGCAACAATCAACAATTTCAAACCCCCGGAATTTTCCAGGATAATTTATTTTATTTTATTTTATTTTATTTTATTAAATTTCTATACTGCCCTACTCCCGAAGGACTCAGGGCGGTGAACAGCCACAGGATAAAACACATAAATACAAAAATTTAAAATAGAATAAAAATGAATTAAATAATTTGGCTGAACAAATTTAAAATACCCCATAATTTAAAAACAAATTAAAATTTACATTTAAAATTTACATTTAAAAATGTAATCAACTTCAAGGATGGCTGTGTAATGATCCACCATTTCAATTCAATGAGTAGAAGTAGAAAAGGTTGTTTAGAAAACCTCCTTTGTAGTTATTTCATGATATTTCTTTCCCAATCCTTCTAGGTTATAGGGCAATATTTCTTTATTTTAAAAAAAGGCTAAAACTAGGGATGAAATCCAGCAGGTTCTGGCAGGTTCTGGAGAACCAGTAGCGGAAATTTTGAGTAGTTCAGAGAACTGGCAAATGCCCCTCTGGCTGGCCCCAGAGTGGGGTGGGAATGGGGATTTTGCAGTATCCTTTCCCTGGAGTGGGGAGGGAATGGGGATTTTGCAGTATCCTTCCCCTGGAGTGGGGAGGGAATGGAGATTTTGCAGTATCCTTCCCCTGGAGTGGGGTGGGAATGAAGATTTTGCAGTATCCTTCCCCTGCCACACCCACCAAGCAACACCATGCCCACCAAGCCACGCCCATAGAACTGGTAGTAAAAATAATGGATTTCACCACTGGCTAAAACGGTAGAAAAATGTGTTTAAAAGCCACTTTAAGGTCCTCTAGTCAAACCCCTTGCACAGACAGGAATCCACTAAACCATCTCTGCCAAAAGTCCATTCATTTCCCAGTTGATACTCAGGAAAACCCACTACTCCTTCGGGGAGACAGTGCAACTGCTCAGGGCTTCTTATACAAGTGGTGTGTTTGAGCCATGAAGTTCCAACAGGATGATAAATGTTGACTTTCTATTCTTTACCTGTGTTTGATTTTACAGGAACCCTTCTCTGCCATGCTGAAAACCCTGTCCAGGAACCTCTGCTAGAAGCATTAAATGGAATAAAAACGGATATTTCTTGCTCCCACCCAAATATTAAATTGAATGAATACATCTTTTGGTACCGACAGTTTCCTAGCCAGCCTCCGCATTTCATTGCAAGTGGATACAAGCAAATGTCAAAAAACAATGTAGAAGAGCGAGTTGATTTGGTTGTTGCTGATAACCGAACAAATAGCATCCTCTCCTTCACCAATGTCATCTTTGAAGACCAGGCATTGTATCTCTGTGCTCTAGGAGACACGGTGTCACATCCTCATGACTCTCTTTGGCAAGAACCCTTTCTTTGCAATACAGGTGACACCAGAGACAGGAAAGGAAGGCAGGTGTGAAAACACACCTATCAGTCTGAATGTTCCTGGGAGCATTTTTTCCAGGGTGATTGAAAGGAGAAGTGGTGAATGAGGAGAGGGAGGGAGGGAGGGAGGGAGGGAGGGAGGGAAGGAAGGAAGGAAGGAAGGAAGGAAGGAAGGAAGGAAGGAGGGAGGGAGGGAAGGAGGAAGGAAGAGGGGGGAAATGAGGGCAAGGAAGAAAGAAGATAGGTATGAGAAGGAAGAAGGGAGGGAGGGAGGGAGGAAGGAAGAGGGGGAATGAGGACAAGGAAAGAAGATAGGTATGAGAAGGAAGGAGGGAGGGAGGCAAGGAAGGAAGGTAGGAAGGAAGGAAGGAAGAGGTGGAAATGAGGACAAGAAAGAAGAAGTTAGGTATAAGAAGGAAGGGAGGGATGGAGGGGGAGGGAGGGGGAAGGAAGGAAGAGGAGGAAATGAGGACAAGGAAAGAAGAAGATAGGTATGAGAAGGAAGGAGGGAGGGAGGAGGAAGAGGTGGAAATGAGGACAAGGAAAGAAGAAGAGGCATGAGAAGGAAGGGAGGAGAAGGGCAGGAAGGAGGGAGGGAAGGAAGAGGTGGAAATGAGGGACAAGGAAGGGAAGTGATAGGTATGAGGAAGGAAGGAAGGAAGAGGTGGAAATGAGGACAAGGAAGGAAGGTTGTAGGTATGAGAAGGAGGGAGGGAGGGAGGGAGGGAAGGATGGAAGAGATGAAAATGAGAACAAGGAAGGAAGGTGATAGGTATGAGGGAGGGAGGGAGGGAGGAAGGAAGGAAGGAAGCAAGCAAGCAAGCAAGCAAGCAAGCAAGCTTCAGCTGGGGACAGCTTGCAGGGTGAACGGTCAATGAAGAGGAGGAGGAGGAGCTGCCTTCCATGGTAGATCCAGAGATGGGCTGCTGTCAGTTCGCACCAGTCCAGGCGAACCAGTATTTAAGATTATGCACAGTTCGCTGAACCAGTAAATGCCACCACTGCCTGGATTGCCCAGCAGCAGAGAGGGAGAGGGAGAAGGGGTCAGCGGTGGCCACTAGCATTGTCTGTGAAGCTAGCAGGAGCGGCAGCACACAGGAATGCTGCTGCCTTCTCCCTCTCTCTCCCGCCTTCTGGGCGATCCTGTGTGAAGAACGGAATGGCAGCTTTAGCAAAGGAATAAAAACTGATTTTGCTGCTTCCCCTTGTCTGATACCCAGTGAGGGAGAAGTTGCTCTGCTGCGAACGGGCAGAGACGGGTGGTGAGGGGCGTGCCTGAGTGACACTCCTGTGCTGATAAAATGGAAAAAAATTTCGTCTGTGGAAAAATTGCACACACACACACACACACACACACACACACACACACATTGGATCTTTCTTCCATCCCACCCCCCCCCACCCCCACCGGAGACCTCTGGATTCCCTCCCCAACCCTGTCGATCCCATACAGGTACCACCCACGCAAGTGACTTAGAGTTGGCCATGCCCACTCAGTCACATGACACTCAGTCATGCCCACCCAGTCACGCCCAGCCAGCAGCCATGCCCACCCAGAACCGGTTGTTAAATTATTTGCAGCCCACCACTGGGTAGATCCAAGAGCATGCAGGGCAGAGAAAAGACAGGAGCAGCGGAGATCTGCCAGATCACTCAGGAGAAGGCCCCGCCCATCTTGAGGGGCTGTGCCGGAAAGCTATTTATCATGGCAGGCAGAGGGAAGCAGTTGCTGGGAACAACGTGTTTGGTTTATGGCTGTGCGTACCTTTGTGCTTCCAACATGACTTTGTGCCTTGGAGACTCTTTGTGAACTAACTTTGGCCCGCTTGTGGCTGGATTTATTTGGGACAGTTCTGAGGCTGGGTGAAGGGAATTGCTGGGGAACTTTAATAAACTCTATAAAATCAAACTTGTGTGTGTGTGTGAGCGAGCGGGGCAGCACAGGTTGGTGCATTCAGATACGCTGGAATTGCAACTTCACATGTTGTCATCAGCCACATCAGATGGGCATTTTGAGAATTACTGTCCTGAATCTTAGGACATTTTAGGATGGATTGCAAGATAGAATCAAACAATTTACTTGTTGGTGGACTTTTGAGATGCTGAGACGCTGTTGCTTGTCGATTGAAAAGTTGGCAGTTCAGCGGTTCGAATCCCTAGTGCCGCATAATTTTTTGCCACCAATAGCCTCCCACCGACCAGTTCGTTCTCACAGGGAGGGACTACTCAGGGTACCGTCAGTTAAATTATGCCGACTGGCGACTCCCAGGGGGAGGGCCTTCTCTGTGAGGGCTCCAACCCTTTGGAATGAACTGCCCCCGGAGATACGGAATATCCCTGATCTCCGTGCTTTCCGCCATGCCCTCAAAACCCTGATGTTCCAACAAGCGGGGCTAAACATATGAACATGTGAATGATTTTAAAATGTTATCTAATTTTAGGTTCTATTTAATTGGGCCAAACTATGTTATAATAATAATTTTAATTAGCAATTTTATGATGTTTGTGTATCTATATTTTTCTTGACTGTACACCTCCTTGAGTTCTACGGGAGAAAGGTGGTATAGAAATATAATGAATGAATGAATGAATGAATGAATGAATGAATGAATGAATGAATAAATAAATAAATAAATAAATAAATAAATAAATAAATAATGGGGTGAGCTCTCGTTACTTGTCCCAGCTTCTGCCAACCTAGCAGTTCCAAAGCACATAAAAAATGTAAGTAGAAAAATAGGGACCACCTTTGGTGGGAAGGGAACAGTGTTCTGTGCACTTTTGGCATTGAGTCATGCCGGCCACATGACCACAGAGATGTCTTTGGACAGTGCCGGCTCTTCGGCTTTGAAACGGAGATGAGCACCGCCCCCTAGAGTCGGGAATGACTAGCACATATGTGCAAGGGGAACCTTTATCTTTACTTTATGTGAATATTACATATAAAACTTTAAGCTGAGCCAAGGAGGAAACTCTTGGAGCTACAGGAAAGGACAGAAGCTAGAAAGAAAAATGGACATTTAGGAAGGGTAGAAAGTGATAAATATTACTAAATTTATTTTATTTTATTTTATTTTATTTTATTTTATTTTATTTTATTTTATTTTATTTTATTTTATTTTATTTTATTTTATTTTATTTTATTTTATTTTTTATTTTATTTATATACCATCCTTCTCCCGAAGGACTCAGGGCGGTGAACAGCCATAATAAAAACAATGTACAAAATAGAATTTAAAAGCAGATTAAAATAATTAAATCATAGGCCAAATTTAAAACTCTCATTTTAAAACCAATTTTAAAACCCCAATAAAATCAAATTAAAATCATTTATTCCCATCAGAGCGGCTTGCTGGAATAACAGGGTCTTCAATGCACGACGGAATGCGCGGAGGTTGAGGATCCTTCCTATGTCCGGGGGTAATTCATTCCAGAGGGCAGGGGCCCCCACAGAGAAGGTTCTCCCCCTGGGGGTCGCCAGTCTACATTGTTTGGCTGACGGCACCCTGAGGAAGCCCTCTCTGTGGGAGCGTACCAGTCGGTGGGAGGCAATCGGTGGCAGAATGCGGTCTTGTAGATAGCCAGGTCCTAAATATTACTTACTTGACGTGAGAATCAATAATATTAGCGAAAAGGATTCCGAATTCGTGGTGAGGGACTGAAGAATCTCAGTTGTATCCGAATTAATCAGACAGCTGGTATCCTGTGTAAACAATGAGGCCTCTCTCTCTTCACTCCTTCTGCCTGCCTCCTCTCTGTTGTGGTTTGTGTTTATGTGTTTATGTTTGTGTGTTTCGGGAACAGCTAGCACATATATGCGAGGGGAACCTTTACCTTTAGACTTTTTGTTCTCCAGGGGGCAGTCTAGACCTTCATATGTTCTCCATCCTTTCTCAGACCTGCTGCTTGACTTAAAAACCACAACTGAGGCCACCTGTGATGAACACAACTTGCCACAAAAGGAAACTGCCTCCTCATTTGAAGCTTTTTCTAAATGTAAGACGCAAAGGAGAATGTTGGTTGTCTTCAGAGTGCCAAGGATGTCTTTTCTTCCTCAACCAAACCATTACTTGTTTTTTCTGCAAATTTTCCTATTGCTCTTGAGATCAGGTAATATTGCGACTGAAAAACTATCCTTCTCCTTCTCCTTCTCCTTCTCCTTCTCCTTCTCCTTCTCCTTCTCCTTCTCCTTCTCTTTCTCCTTCTCCTTCTCCTTCTCCTTCTCCTTCTCTTTCTCCTTCTCTTTCTCTTTCTCCTTCTCCTTCTCCTTCTCCTTCTCCTTCTCCTTCTCCTTCTCTTTCTTCTCCTTCTCCTTCTCTTTCTCCTTCTCCTTCTCCTTCTCCTTCTCTTTCTCCTTCTCCTTCTCCTTCTCTTTCTCCTTCTCCTTCTCCTCCGTCTCCTTCTCCTTCTCCTCCTCCTCTATCAAAATTTGGATAAATGTCTACAGAGATTCTCAGTCATCCAGGTCACGATTGTCCCAAACGTGCTTTTCCAAGAGGCAACTGGACTTTTCTTTGAAGATGGTTTGCTTCTCACCCAAGAAGCTTCTTCAGCTCTGACTGGGTGGTGGGGAACATAGGAGAACATAGATTCAGCATTTAGCATCTTTTGAAGACAGCAAAGTCCACATTTTGGACAGAGAAGACCACTGGCTTGAAAGACGGGGTCAAAGAGGCCATTATGTCAAAATTGAACAGCTCTGTCTCTCAACAGAGGCAGGAGGGATACGGCATCATCTATCTCCAATCTACAACACAGTCCTCCCAACAGTTTCAAGAAGGCTCCACACCATTTGCACCACTCAGGTGACCCTGGGGACACAGATAAAACTCCAGGTGGCCTTTAATGACCCTCTAAAAGAATGCAAAGGACCAGCTGTCTGCAAGGAGTATTAAATCCTTCCGTTCCCCACCATCCAGGCAGAGCTGAAGAAGCTCCTTGGATGAGAAGCGAAACATCTTCAAAGAGAAACCAGAAAGTCCAGTTACCTCTTGAAAATAAAGCACCTTGGAGACAAGACTTGGATAAAGTGAAACTTTAATCTAATGCCTGTTCATTTTACTTTCACTCTTTCCTGAAACTGCAAAA